TTCCTTCTCTTCTGATGCCACATGCTGTTCGTCTCTTGCCAGTTCTTTTAGTGTTTCTGCAGACTCTTAGGAGGCAGGAGCTGAATGTAGAGTTTCTCTGTCATTCCCAGCTGCCCACAGCGAGGAAGCCTCTCCTTACTGTTTATTTCTAATCACTATCTTCCAGGCTGCTTAGAGGGGATCTCCTGTGCAGATCTTTCTGCTTTGTCCTGCATGCTAGTCAGCAGGTTTTCCTGGCTCTGAGAGTTCAGCGAGGGGCAAAACTTTGTAGGCAACCTAGTGGAAGTCCACCAGATATGGGTTGGAAATGGTTCATGCCTTTGTCATTGGGTGCACAAAAAGAACTCTAGTGACAGACCAAGAATATGCACGTCCACAAACACACAGGCACATATTTCCTCCCCATGCGCACGCGCACCCACCCCCCCACACACACACAAACACCTGCCATTAAGAAAGCTATAAAATAAAAGGTTGCTATATAGAAGTAGAGCAGAGTCTCTGCCTTTGCCTGCAGACGGGGACAAGGTGAAGCTGCTGGTATATAAGCTGGACTCAGAATGGAGATGCCAGCCAACTAATCATTCTCATGGTGTGTGCTGTACTACATGAAGTTCCCAAAAGAGAAACAGCTTTTCAACTTTGTAACTCTGTGCTTTTTATCTTGTAAAACTGTTAGGACTGCTAGTCCCGAAAAGAAACAGGAGATAGAAAAAACAGCTGTGGAGGAGGAGACAAAGGAGGAGAAAATTGAGCTGAAGTCGATCACTGCTGATGGAGAATCCCCACCTGCTACCAAGGTAAGGTCTGCTGCCAGCCAGCACTCTCTGTGTTGTGATGGCATGAACAGCTTGGGTTTCTGAGGGAAAGAAAACCCTCTGCTTTGTCTGATAAAGGCTTTGCTGCTTCTTCCATTTCTGTCAGATCAACGTGGATGATTATCAGCCCAATGAAAATGAAGAAAAGAGCCCATATCCCACAACAGAAGCGCCAGGTATATATATATCTTCTTCCTCTGATCCCTGATTCGACAAAGAGAAGCTCCAGTTGCTAATGCACATAAAGCCAAATTGTGGTAGCTGGTATGCTGAACATGCAGTGCTTTCATGATGGGACAGAATGATGTGCTTGCCCGTGTTTGCACAGGTGTGGACTGGGCCCTTTGCAGTCCCTATACTGATTAGTCATATTTGATTTTGTTCTCTGTAAAGCTCTGTATTTGGAAACAGAGAACCAAATCAAATGACATACAAATCTCTGTATATGAAAATATACATATGACTGTTTTCAGCCTATTTTTTCAGTGTTCAGTGGTCAGGGGAGACTCACAATAGATACTCATGAAAGGCGAAGTGCTGAATGCCTTTTTGCACTTTTTTATTATCAAAAAAGACAGCGTGACTTATCAATATAATTTTAAAGGCATGAGATGTCATGTCAGCCTAGAATCGCAAAAAACAAGCTACAGCATTAGTCTAGTTTTCAAGTCAGTTGGACCTAATCAACTTCATCCTCAGATACTCAAAGGATTGCTTGAAGAAATCTCAGAACTTTGAGCAGTTTTTCTTCAAGACATCCTGAATGTGGGGTGGGGTTGGAGCAGAAGAATTATAAGCTCGTCAGTTCAACTTCCATTCTTGGAAAAGCGCTGGAACAAATGATTAAACAAACTATATGACTGCAAGATAAGGAGATGAATAGCAGCCAACATAGATTTGCCAAGAACAAATCACATCAAACCACCCTTATTTTCTTCTAAAAAGGGCTGACAAGACTTGTAGACAGGAGAAAAGTAGATGTCATATTGTTTAGGTTTGCTAAGTCTTCTGACTGTCTCTTATAACATTCTCATAAGCCGGCTAGAAAAACATGGTCTAGATGATTGAGAGAGAAATCGGTCAGACTCTTTACGTGGAGAGTAGTCATGGCCGAAATGAGGTTCTACAACCCAAGGGCCTGTCCCGAGTTCAGTTCAGTTCATTGTTAATGACCTGAATGATGGAAGAGGAAATACGCTTATTACATTTGCAGATGACATGAAGCTAGGAAGGAAAGGAAGCATGCTGGAGGGCAGCATTAGAATTCAAAGAGCTCTTGAGGAACTGGATAAATGGTCTAAATAAAATTGAAAGTGCCAGGCTCTACACATAGACAGGAATAAACAACTCAGAAATAAAGGATCTTAGGTGACAGCTATTTAGGTAACAGTCCTTGAGAAAAGAATCTGAATCTTGTGATCATAAGCTCAACAGGTGCTAACAATATTTTGCTGTCTTTCAAAAGGCAAACAAGTATTGAGATTTATAAACAGTGAAAACATGACCCTTTAGTCCAGTGATGGTTTTCTTCTAACTGGCCAGTGAAAGCTAATGAGAGCAAAGCAATTTGTTCACCATTGATAAGATGTCAAGTGGGGTATCGTGTCTCACTTTGGGTGCTCTGCTTAGAAGCGGGGCTGAATTGGAGGGAGTGTAGAAGAGCATGGTGAAAGCAATGCTAGTAGGGAGTAAGAACTAAGATTGAAAGAATTGTGGTCATTTGAGCTAGGAGAGGCAGGAAAAACATCTTCAAATGCATAAAAGCCTATTACAGATAGGAGGGGAATTATCTCCACTATGAAGAAGTAACAGATTTAAGATTCACACCAGGAGAGAATTTTCTAATGGTGAGGCTAGAAAAGATCAGGAAGGTGGTTGTGGAAGCCTAGCATCACTGAACGTTGTTAAAAACAGGTCAGAAAAATATCTGCCAGAAAAGGCTTAGATATAATAATTAGTTGATCCTGGCTTAGCAGAGGCATGAACCAGAGGGCCTTTTGTGACCCTTTCCTCCTCTGCCCTTCTGTGATTCTGTGATTATGTAACAGGCTGTAATAGGTAATAAAACACATTCTCTTCTATTCCATGATTCCTAATAAATGTCTGATAATAGGTTGATGTGATAGGGTACAAAAAAGACACAATCATTCATTTTAAATAGATGGACAGGGGTTTCAGACAAGCAAAAGGGAAAACTGCTCATTGCATTTGATTTTCAGTACAAAAAATCCCCACATGTGCTATGCATGTATTTGTTCATATTTATAGCCCATTTATCCAACACCATGCAATACTGTTTTAACATTGCCTGGGGCATATCACTCTGGCTTTAATCTTCTCAGCACCTCTATAGGCACAGGCACTTACTGGACACCCGTCCCCAGTTGCTAAGGGGTTTGTCAGAGTCTTTAGTCAGAAGCACAAATTAAAACAGCTTGATACAGTTCTGTTTCTGAGCTGGCTTGGGTTGGCAGACCAATTTTTTCAAGTGAAGTTACAGTCACCTGTATATCAAATTTAAGCCTACTGATAATAGAATTTGTGGTTTAGTTACCTTCCATGGATAGCTTAGAAATAGTCTGGCATGTGAGCTACGTGACAAAAACTACATCTACAATTTGTGTCATGTGCATTTTGTCTGCAGCTGTGCATAGGATTAGAGTGCAGAAACTTAAGCAAAACACTTTTAATTCCTGCCTTGGGGTGCCAATCCCTGGCTTGGCATACTTTTGAACAGAAGCTAAAATTTGAATGAATAGTCAGGTTTTCATGCATCTCCTAAAGTATTAGAAATACAAAGGGACAGCATATTGGTTATTTGCCATTGTATGATGCTATTTCTAAACAGTTCCCTGAATTGTCTATCAATTCTTTGTGAAGAGTGAAGTTACTTTTTCTCTTTTCTGACTCTCTGAAAATCTTAGCCTTTTGCTGAAAATGATGCCTAACAGCTCACACAATTACCTGACCACTTCTTTCAGAGTTCATGGAAGTCAACCATAAGGCTCAGATGCAGTGAAGTTTCGTAAATCCCTTGTTACATCAGATTTATCATAGTTATCTATTCCATTCTGCTGTATAAAGCTCAGAAACACCAAAGCCCCCTCAGAGCTGAGGTGGCATGTCACATCTGCCTTGTGTAGTCAGTTTTGGGGAACAAGGCTCCAAGGCTTGCCCTGGTATTAGGAAGCAAGAATTTCCCAATCCCCACATGTACCCCTGCCCGGTTCCCTTGTGGCCATCTGACCAGTCCAGAATCCTTCTGCTGATTGCTGATCAGTCCGGCTGTGGTACAGAAGATGCTGTGCAGCCCATCTGGCAACACACCTTTTCTTGACCACTTGCATGTGCATCCATTTCAGCTGTGCTTTGAGTGAAGCATCCTATTGCTTCTTATGTGCAGTCAGCTGGTTCTACCTATTTTCTGTTCATGATTTAAGCTGTTAATGTCTGTGACCTTTCCATGGCTGTGTACCATTCCATCCTCTGAAAACATCCTTCACCCTAACCCAGTGTTCAGAAACAATTTGAAACAATTTGAAATGGTCAAAACCTATGTTTTCCCTTTATTCTTTCACCCTACCTTGCTCAATCTCCTGTTCATTTCTGCTGCCTCAACAAGTTTTCTCAATGACCTCCTCTGACTCTATTTGCTACACAGTGTTGCTCTTAGGCCCCAGAATACTTTATGTACTGGCAGCTCATCAGATCACCTATCCTCTTTGTTGGACGGAGAGACTAGTTATTCCAGAGATTTGTGTACACTAAAAGGATTATTATGATGATATGTTTATTATAGGAAGACAGGGAGCCAGTCTTGCAGTCTAGTACAGAAACAGACAAAGAATTCAGAATGTCAGATGAAGGTAAAAGCTTGGGATGATTCATGGGAGCTTGAAGCAAAGCAATGTCCTTACACAAGAGTTCTGGTCTTTGTACAGTAAAAAAATCCTCATGATCAAATTTCTCACTGATGCTGCACTGAAGCCTGTGTGTGCTTATGGCTTCACATCCAAAGGACATCACCATTCTGATGAGGCATAATTCAAGATGACAGTTCCCAGATTTGAATTTCCTTGAACTTTAGGAGAGTTCAAACCTAGATATGAATTTGGCAGCTCTGAATCATGTTTCTTTATGATTTCATGGCAAGCTTGATTAGAAGTGTCACTTTTTAAACACAAATATACCTTAAGTGTAGAAAACAGTCAAAGAACAAGTGTTGAATTGCTGTTGATGCGCTGCCCAGCCCAACTGTGAATACCATGTTGACCTTTGCTTCTACAAATGCTGGCAACTGTGCAACATCCTGTTTCTATATGCAGGTAGATAGCTTAGGTAGTAACCTGAGCTGCGGCTGTAATCATGTTATTCTTTGCATATTTGGGCCTCAGTGTTTCTCTTCTTCTGTGCCCTAGACCCTACTTTAAATGAAAAAGATTTAGAACATTATTCTTTATCTATGGCTGAGGAACTGAATGAGTTTTCCAGTCTGAAGGTATGTAGTTGCCAGTATCATTAATATATTTCTTGCTGTATGGCAGGCACAAGAAAAAGAGGAGAGGAACAACATTCTTTATGGTCTTCATGGGGCTGATCCTTCTGCTAAGAGTCCATTTTCCTGAGACGTTGTTCAATACCCATTTGAAAGTGTTTTCTTAAGCATTCCTCCAAGTAAAAGAAAAGGAATGATTGAATAGAGAAGGCACAGAGCATGGGCTCAGAATACTGGTCTTTTTAAGTAAGACTCTCAAATGTCCTACATGATCACGGGCATCAGTATTCTGGACTGTTAAAGAAGAAAAAGAATTTGCTTACCTCTCTCATTGTCAGACCACTCTGAAATCTGTAGAAAAAAGGTGCAAGTGCAAAGTATTATAATATTATATAAATATAAACATTAACCTTAACACCAATTTTACAGGTACTATGCACAAAAGTACTTCTGAAAGAATGTTTCTTTAACTAATAAAGCCTGTAGAAAGAGTATTATAAAGTATATTACAATATAACATTGAGCTGTTAAAAAATAGACCGGCTTAAAAAGTACAAACTTTATGTACCAGCTCAAACATTTATCCAAAAGTCTATCAAGTGCATTTGAGCTGAACTCTTGCTACTCGAAGAGTAAAGAAAGAATCCTATTTGCATGCAATTATGGCATGCATTGAAAAGGCCATTTTTCTCCTGTCTCTGACATCTAGATTAGGATCTGTGCTGATTCATCTGTTCTTTCTGATGTGTCCGTTACCAGATCAAGTATAGTACCTGACCCTAAAGGAACAGGCTCTTCCTGGAACTTATCTCGCTTTATGGACTCAAGATAAACCTTTTAACTGGAGTTTCTTCCTTTGCATTGGCTGGAAGATGAATCAGTTGCATCTAACCTGTCAGGCTCCTTGCTTGAAATATTTTTTCCTATCTTGCTGATTAAGTGAGAGGATTGGGATCTTTAAAATAGCAAAATCCTATCATGTCATTTACAAAACAGCATCTGACTTCAGCAGGTAGAAGAAATCCTCAAAGGTGGAAGGTTCTCTTTCACATGCCACTTAGCCTCCATCTCTGTGTTTTTTTCATTGAGTGCACTCACTGAGCTGCACAGTGCCTGGAGATCGGCTCCGTAGGCATCAGGTTCAAGAGTCTCAGCCTTGTTCCCACCTTTCACTCTTCCTCCCACTGAATTATGAAAGGGTACAATTATAAGAATTTCTGATGGGTATAAATGAAAGTGCTCATGCTCCATGGGTGCTCTGAGGCATACAGGTGCTCATCCAGACACAATCCCAGATGTGGCAGTGGCTCCATGGAGAACCTTACAAAGAGGAGAAAAACAGACCTTGATAAACTGGAGGAATGGTCTGAAGAAAATAAGATGCAGTTCAAGAAGGATGAGGTCAAAGTGCCACTCGTGGGAATAGTCAGCAGCACAAATGCAGAGGGGGGAGTGACGGGCTAGGCAGCCATTTTGTGCTAAATAATCTGTACTTTTTCATCAGAAACTGATGGCAAATTAGTGCCAGAGTGTGATGAAAAGAAGTGCCCATGAAAGACATTTAAATAGGAAGATAGTATTATAAGAAGTAACCTAGCTCTCCTCTGCACCAGTAGAACCTCAATTGCAAGTTAATACTGCAGATAATCTGGAGGAAAGTAGCAAGAATGCTCACATATTTAGGGAAGGCTGCACATCAGGAAAGACTGTTGTTTTGCTCTAGGAACCAGCAATCCTCACAGAAACATAATAATGGTTCTCAAGTACATAAAAGCCTTCTGTAAGAGGAGGAGAATTTGCTGATTTCTGTGTCCATGGAAAATAAGAAAATAATGGATTTAGACCATAGTAAGAAAGATTCAGGTCAGTTATTAGAAGCAGCTTTTTTTTTTTTTTTTGCAGAAGGGACAGTGAAGCGTCTGAGGAAACCATTGTAAGGATATTGTGGATTTACCAGCATTAATGGTTTTACAGAGAGACTAGATCAATGTCTTCTGGGGTGAGCACTGGGCAGCGGATGCTGCCTTGGGGAAGGGAAAAGTGAACAAGGAACCTGAAGCTTTCATCATCCTATTTCAATGATTCTTAGTTTTGAGCTCTAGTTATGACAGAGACAAATTCCTCAGCACTCCAGAATGGGTTGTATTTTGCATTGAAAGACAAAAATGCTTCTTGCAGCAGAGGAAGATGAGGAAGAACCCGAGATGCCTGTCGGCCCTCGGCCTCGCCCGATGTCTGAGCTGCACCTCAAGGAAAAGGCTGTGCCCATGCCTGATGCCAGTGCTTTTTTCATCTTCAGTCCTAACAACAGGTATTTAAGAGACTAATTAGCTGGGACAAGAGGTGGAGAGCAGGTACCCCTTTCGTACTGGGCCCCAAAGGTTATGCAGTACAGAGATCCCTTCCAGCAGTTCATACCAGAGACCTCCTTTGACCAGTCCCTACTTTAAAGGCCCTGACATGAAATCCTCATGAAAACACAACTGTAGGGAGCCCCCTGACAAAATTCAATGGGAATTCATGGCACCTGCAAGGCTGATTAAAGACACAAACCATGAAAGCTTTGGAAATAAGGCACTTGGAGGCGAGTCAGTAATTGGAATTCCCCAACATATTCAGGTCCAAATTGCAAGCAAGCCATCATCCAATCAGTTAAGCGTGAGGTAGGAGCCTCCTGTCCTAATGGCTGCTCAAAATCCACTCCCAGTAGGGAGTTCATGTGTCTCTGCTCATTCCTGCACGTCAAGAATGAGCATACAAGAAAAGGGAGGAGGACAATGAGAGTCCCTAGCTCTGTGAGGGGAGGCTGAGGAGAATAATTCTTCTCTTGCGCTCTTCCCTGGCATTCCTACATGTGGCTTCACATTGCCTCACCTGTCTTTCCACCACGGATGTGTGAGACCAGTACTGTGAGTAGACATAGCTGAGCTCTGACGCAGGGGAATATATCTTTTCAAGGGTGCAAAAATGAACTCACTGCCCAGTGGTCTGTGCAATACCATGTATCACAACACCTCTCTTGGGGACTTGGCCTCCAAACACAGCCCCAGAGTAAGGCAGGGGTTTAAAAGCACAGCTGAATTCAGAGGCAGTCTTTCCACAGCAGGGCTTGTGCTACTCCTCTTTGGGTACGTGCATTAGGGAGGGACTGATGATGATTGGGACTCATGGACTCTAATGCCAGCTTTGCCACCCACCCACTGTCGCTTGTTGAAGAAGTAAATTAACCTCTGCAATCATCTGTAAAATTGCTATAATAGGGGCTTGGAGGCTTAACAGCCAAAAGTTGAGCTAAATAGATTAATGAAGTGCCTCTAGAATTATGCATAGGACTGTTGTGAGGTTTAACTCCTCGTATCCTGGTACCAATGTATGGAAGGTTCTGTAATGGTCTCCAGTAAGCATGCTGCTTGATGGGAGACTGCTACTTCTCTACCTGCTAGTTTCCTCTTAAGAGCACCGAGCACTATATATTGGGCTGATTTTTAGCAGGCATCCTGCATGGAATTATGTCCTCCCAGAAACCCTTTTCAAATGCTAGCCTGCCCTATATCTATTTGGCTAGGCCAGTGCCCTGTTAGCAAGGTAGATCACCCATAGCTCCTGCTCAGTGACACTGCAGCCCCAGCTCAGAAAGACATCGGCCACCCCGAAGCCCTTTTCTGCTGCTTTCCCCCTAAATGAATGGGGAATGGTTCTGTGAATGAAAGCAAGGGATATAATTTTGGGTTGGCAGATTTCAGACCACATCTAAATCACAAAAGGCTCTGTTGGGAGGGAGTGACTGCTCTCCATTCAAGCGTGAGTCCTGCAGGCAGCTGATCACCCTGTGTGCATCACTGCATGACGTGGAGAGCCAGGGCTGCCCAGCACCCAGCAGGGCCAAGCGCAGCTGCCTGCGCCCACCGTTCCCCCTGCTGCTGGGGCAGAGGGAAGCTGCTCTGCAGAACAATCCTCCAGGGCCAGTCTGGCTGGCAAAAGAGGAGGGGGGAATGTTTCCCAGGTCTTGCTGTTCCCTGAGAGATAAAGTTGTGCCTCTCCTCTCTCTTGCAGGTTTCGTGTCCACTGCCATCGAATCGTTAACGATAATATTTTCACCAACCTGATCCTATTTTTCATCTTGCTCAGCAGTATCTCCCTGGCAGCTGAGGACCCCGTCCGACACCTCTCCTTTAGAAACCAAGTATGCTTCCCAACCTCCTTCCCTCGCTGTGTATTAGAAGTGTGGTACAAGCAGATCATGAGTTGAAGCCAGGAAAGGCAGAAAAGACCTCATCAGAGGCTTTGGGAGTGACTTTCTTCCCCGATTTGTGCCTTTTGTAGGGTGTCAGTGAAATCATTGGGTTTGGCAGGGAACATGAGTCAGTGCAGAATTTGGACTCTAGTTCATTTCAGAAGCGCATGTAGGGGATGGAAGAACGGGAGGCTGAAGCAAAATTATTGTTCCCTGGGATTAGGGCATTAGAAACGGGCTGTAGAAACATTGATTGGGATACAGGTAATTCTAATTTGGGGAATTTGCAGGTTCCCTTTGGAACATTTGCTCTCCTGCCACATGCTTTCTTTTGAACTAATAAGTCCAGGACCCGATTTTCACTTTTTTCAAGTTGGTGTAAATCATGAGTAACATTCTTGAGTTTGATGCAGTCACTCTGGCGGAAATTGGTGTCATCAAGGTTAGAATCAGACTATTTGAATGCAAGCTGCAAAGCTATCATTAAATTTGAGATAATCCTCAGAAAATATGCTGTGCTCCTCTCCTCGCCAGCCTGGGGGAAGGAGAGTAAGGCATTCAGCACAGAGATAAATTCTCACCTTCTTTTCTGACCATTCTTATTAGCCTTTTGAAATGTTCAGTGCTCCCTTAACTTTGCCAGTGGTTGTTTCCATTAATCCGGGTCATTGCAGAAATCAGAAGAGTCAGCAGTCGTATGTGAGACTTTGGGTCTCTGCTGTCGACGGTGGCATTTTCATGCCTTTATGCAGGAAGAGCTTTCTAGACTTAAAGAGTGGGACAATTTTTATTATTTTTTAATAATAAAACCTTAATTTAACATTTAGTGTTCTACCTCCCTTAAATATCCTGGCCTGAGCATGTATTTAAACACATATGTGCATGCAGAGACGTTAATGGAGGTTTATTCCTGAGCTTATCTCAGAGCTGGTTTACATTTTGTCCTGAAGGAGGGTACTAAATAATACAGCCAAACCTGTGTGACCAGTGACTTTGTGCACAGCTGAGTGTGCCCACCACATAGGCATAGATGTATGTAAATATGTATTAGCACTGCAGTGTGATGTCAGCTGGCATATGGACTTCTGATGTGCCACAGAAGCTGCTGCAGAATCTGTAGCAGAGAGATTTAAATGAGAAAAAAAAAGTAGTCAAAGCTGGTTGCCCTGGGTAAAAGAGATGAAGTTTTGGGGCAAAGTGTTGTCCTGTGTATTTGAAGCCACTGATGTTGCATGAAAATCTGTGTTTAATTTTTGCAGGTACAGATGTTTAAAGTGTATCATACAAGGGGACACTGGCAAGATCTTTGGGTTGCAAATGTGATCTGCCTTTACACTTTGACAGTAGAACAGTAAGACTGCGTCCTGCCCTGTGCCCACACAGGGGCCTGGGAGGGAAAGCAAGCAAGCAAGCTGAAAGCAAACTACCTGCCTCTACCTTCACTCTAGGACATAATGAGGCATTAACCTGTGCACAAGGACTCATGCAGTCAGACTAGTGCTGCTGTTGACACAAACAGGAATGGAGAGAACATCCTCCAGCAAGGACTAGCGAAGAGGCTTGGACACTGCTCCTGTCCCAGGGCAGGCTAGCGGCTGCGTCTTTCTTGTGTCACACAGGGCTCAGGCAGCAAGTTTTTTGGAAGTGCCTCCCCAGTCTGATCAAACAGCCTTTAAAGCCCAAGCAAGTCCTAAGACTATGTGCTCACAATAGTCTACTGTTTGCACCTTGGCAAGGTGCTTGTACATTTTAGTATATTCTAGAGTAAATTCACATTTAGAGACTAGTAAATATGCCTGCTGATAAATGGTACTGCCTTCACAGGTGGAGCAGTGACCATTTTCATTAGGCATAAATTCATCTATAAGGGATATCTTTACTAGCTGCAGCGTTGGGGCCAGATTCACCAGTATGCTCTAGCTGCTTTGCGGTGCTCTGGTGATGTAAAGCAGCTGCAGTTACAGCTTAATCACCCACTTTAATCACGTTTATGACTGCTTTGTGTTGGTGGAGTCATGCAAAGCAGCCTTAGACTGCCCATGAATCTGGCCAATTGATTATAAAATTATTCCATTGAAATAATAACCAAATATCAGGACCTACAAGGCAGTAATGCAAGGGGACATTTCCAGTTATAATGTGCCTAAATTAATATAGGATGTAATTGAGATCTGTCCATCCTTGAAATGGCCCTTTTTTAATTCTTTAAGTTGCAAAAATTGATATAGCCCAAGACAGTCTTGAAGAAGTGAGAACAACTTGGGGACAAAAATTGAGTAGTGACCTGAAGGATTTTAAGTTACACAGTAGCAGTGAGTGGTACATCTCCCCACTTGACATTCAGTGTCTGCAAATTAGTCCAGATTTTGATCATGCTTAAATAGTGCAATCTAAAATAACTCTGTGGTTTGCAGTAGCTAACCCACTGCCCCGGGCATACCAAGCTGTAAGAATGTAGCCACCTATAAATCTGAGTTAGGGTGCAGGCATTGAAATACAGTAAACGCCTGTGGGATAGGAGAGTACAGACTACTTATTAGTGTTTTAGCAGTAAATGTTTAAATTTCACAAACGATCAGTTTTCTACAGCTTCTGTATATCGCCCTTCCAGTTTAGAATTTGGTTAAGCTAAAACAGCAGTAATCCAAAGGCCAAATACCTTTGATTTTCACTATTTGTAGGGTAGATAACACCAAAATGGCTTGGGATATTGGAATACATTGGAAACAAAGAGTTCAATTCCAGTCCCGTAAGTCAATGAGAAAGTTCCCATTTCCTTTTGTGGGATGTCAATTAATCAACAGTGAAAGACATTTTTATCTTTGATGCTGTTACTTTGAAAATCACTTTACACTTCCAGACTTGCTATTGCCTTCTGTGACGCTCTAGGGCCACTTTTTGTGGTTTGCTATGCATGCCACCGGTATCTCCATCACCATGTCTAAGTTCATGGGAATGATGAGTGTTTCAGCTTGCCTGTAATCCAGAATGCCAATAGAAAGATGCAAGATCCAAGTTAGGCACCGTTAGCACACAATCGAATTACGGTTGCAGTACAAGAGCTGGGATTCTGTTCAGTTGGCAGTCTTTGTTATTCACCCTAATCCAGGGCAAATCAGGATAGAGGGAAAAAAAGATAGCTACAGCATGAATTTGCAGTTTGCTTTTCTTCCTTTGCGAAAGGCACAGAACAAGACTGAGTGGCAGTTAATAAGAAGGAATCTCATGTTTTCCGCTGAGAGACCAGGCATCCTTGTATTCTCACTTTGGAAGTCTACTTGGGAAAACCCTTGAATTGTCTGTTCTTTATCAGATTAAAAAAAAAAAAAAAAAAAAACCTACAACAACAACCAAAAAGTTATTTTGCCTCTAGAGCCCTCATGGGATTGTAACTTGGAACAGATTTAACGGAATGTGCCTCTTGTCCTCTGTGTGAGGACCTTCACTGCATTCAACAAGACGTCGTTACAAAACCATTTCCTATATAGCCCTCCGTGTTCCCTTGTTAAAAGGCATATGTATTTGATTTGAACTGTGATTTCCCATTCAAGTGATCAGTCACTGATCTACCCTCCCCACTCCTATTCCCTTTTGTTTTTACAGATTATCTTTTATTTTGATATAGTTTTTACTGTCATTTTCACCATTGAAATTGCTCTGAAGGTAAAGTGCCCATCTTCTCTACCATAATTTGTTCACAAGCTTACTAGTTTTCTGCCACTATCTGTTGCTAACACACATGCCTGTTTGTTCCTGGGTCACGCTCAGTACCACTAACCCAATTGTGCTTATTTTTCAGATCCTAGGCAATGCAGACTATGTCTTCACTAGTATCTTTACATTAGAAATTATTCTTAAGGTAACCAATCTGAGCAATACACTTGTTTTCTCCTTTTTCTTTCTTTCTTTCTTTCTTGCTCTCTATCGCTCTCTTTGTTTTTTTAACCCCATTATTATCTCTACTCAAAGGATTGTTTATCTTTTGATTTTATTGTTTTGTTAGTTGCTTTAAAAAGTCTTCTGTGAAATTTTGATATTCAAACTTGTAATTCAGGGCCTATATCAAAACAATGTTTTATAGGGGAATCGCAATGAAAGGATAGTCCTGTTGGGAAAAGTAAGAGGGGACCAAGAAAGAGGCCATCACCCCTTAAATTTCTCTCTCTACCCTGGCCAGTCTTTCCAAAACAGGATTTGTTTGCTGTGCAAGGGACCCTGAGCACACCTCCTCCTACACATGCTACAACCCAAAGAGAGGGTCTCCGTTCTGCACAAGTCATGAAGCTGGGACAGAGGGCGGCCAATGACTTCTGTAAGGTTACATGGTACACAGTCAAGTAGGAGGTGGGGAGCATAGTGCAGAAGCTCAATATTTAGTTGCGGAGAGGTAACTGAGAGTTCAAATCACTGAAACACCATGGACTGTAGCTACGAATGAAAATTGCTGCATTGCCCGTTTGAAACATGGCTACCCGTTTCCCAGGAACGTGCTCTATATACCCAGGGAAATGTGCAGGAGAATGATTTAGCTTGGAAGAAAATAAAAATAGGCTGCCTTGTTCTTAACTCTAATTTTCCCAAATTGGTAGGCTAATAAGTTAAATAACAGTAATTGAGCAAAGTTCTGGCTTTCTAAATGCTAGGTTCACTTGGCAGCTTGGTTTTTTTCTCAGCAAGCTAGCTCTAAGTGCTGGCAAGCAGTACCTTAGAGTTGCACAAATCTTGCAACTCAAGACTCTAATAACAGTATCCATACTGGAGGCTGGCAAGCAGGGTGGCCCCTGCGTATTTTTGTAGAGAAACGTACTTTTTGATATGACTTAAAATCAACAAAGCCATAATGTTCTCCAAAGAGGTGTACCTATTATGCTTGTGTGCAGCATGCATCTGCATTTACACAATAAATCTGAACATGCAGATCCCAAATGGCCGATCAAAAAGGAAAACAGCTCAACAGCAACATTTATAAAATAAAACCACAGTTCAAGGCACCTGGTTGAACTTGCAATTACTAATTCTGCTCCCACTGAAGGAAATAGTAACTCTCCTAATGACTTCAGTGGAAGCAGAACCTGACCCAACCCATAGGCATATTGCTCTGTTTTTATCAGGGGAGTGTAGTATCAGGGGAGCATAGTACCTGAGCCTTCCCAATGTCCTCCTGTTAACTTCAGTGGATATATCTCAACAACCCTGGATATTCTCTGGGTTCAAGTGGGAGAGCAGTGCAAGGACTACAAATGTTTAAGAAATTATTCTGTTCTTATCCTGTCAGTTCTTGCCTCACAAATGGCTTGGTTTCTCAGGGTGTGTTTCTCTGCTGCCTTGCATTGAGCACAATGTTTTGCACAAGAGCAACATTAGTTTAAATGGTAAGAAACAAAGGAATAAATGGCAATAGGATGTTCAAGGCTGTAGAGAAACAAGCTTCATCTGCCCTTATGTTGCTGATGACACCTGGAAGCCTCACACTGCCATGGTGGTGTCTGATGAATGTTAGCAAAGTGACCACCAGGTTTTTTTTTAATTAGCATCCTAAAAGCTTGTTCAGTGCCCCAGATGGGAGACAGACATAGATTATTCACTTTTTGAGAGTCTCTTCTGAGATAACAAAATTTCCCAACAGGCTTGAGAGAAACCACAGTTTGTATAGAACTTAAATTCAGCAGAGCTTCCCCTCCTGATTTCAATGGTGTCTCCTTTCTTTCAAGATTGCCATACAAAACCCAACCAGTAAAGGGCATCTTTACCACCTTTGTTATGGCAAGAACACCCCCCCTCCCCCCCGCCTTCCCCAATTGAATGTGTCTATAAGTATAAATTCTAAGCCAAGACCAGAGTTTATACTTCCTCCCCTTCTAAGTTCCGTTTGACTGATTGATAGTCAGTTCCCTGATGCCATGGATATTTGGTGAAAAAAATAATCTGATATATCATGTGCCCTTCCACCCTTCTCTGAATAAAGTTGTCCCAGGCAGGCATGGCTGGAAACCGCTAGCAGGTATGCCACCCTGAGCTATTAGCGGGAGCCAGAAAACTCCAGTTTGAATTTCTAGTTCACACTTCTCATCTGGGAGTCTGGCTAGAACTCATCATTGAGGAAGAGTCTTGTGGTGTCTGCTTCACGTTACTTTAGACATCTAACTTAGATGAGATTCAGAAGACCAAATTTAGAAGCCTGTGTTCCTAACCCAGGTAATGGAGGGAGATTAGCAGTTTGTGGGGATGGGGTTTCTCAAAGCAGCTACATTAGATCGCTCACTGAGTCTAAGGTAGGTGGTACAATTATCCCCATCACCTCACCCTCTTTCACCGTGCCAGACTCATTTAGTCCCATTCTGTAACTGAGCTCAGTCTAAAATTCACATTCTGAGCTCAGAAGTGTTTAGGTCTGACACTGGGGCCGAGACCTGTTTCTGTTTGCACTCACTTAATCCAGTTCTGGAGCTGTGACATCTGCCTCAAAGCCAGCAGGTATTCAATACCCCTTCACACCCAGAAGAGGCAGAGAGTGCCTTGTAAAATATGTAAAATTTTTCCCTTCTTCTGCTGGGTGATGTTCATATGATTACCTCCACAAAGAAACCGCCCTGTCTCAAGGAATCTTACTTTGGGCTTTGTGAGGAAAACCAAGGGGGAAATGCAGCTGCTTCTAGAATAAAAATGGTGGAAGCTGAGTAGGAAAAGGGATATTGAGCTGAACAGATGGAGCAAACTGAAGACAGCAGGAATTCCTACTGTTGCTTCAGTTCAGCTCTGAAGAATCTGATCCCTGAGGGATTCTGTTTTTATTTCACTGAGGAAAAAGAGCTCTACTGTCCACTGCAGCTGGTCTAAGCATTGAAAAACATTACTAAATATCTCTTTTTATTTTGTATTATTTATTCAATTTAGCTCAAGAGGCCTTTATGTAGTACAAGTGTCATATTCAAAAGTGTCCTCTGCCCTTGAAGAAAAAGGGAAAAGCATATGATTGCAAAGAGTAGTTTTAGCAAAGTCATTTTGCTGCTTTGCTGGTAGGTACTGCATGCACTCAAAGTGCATATTTTCCTCACTGAACCCTAGTATTGGCTTTCCTTCCCTAGTTAGATCTTTCATAGTTATCTTACTGTCTTCTTCGCTCTCTTTTCTTTCAATGGGGACTCAACTTCTCCTTTGGGGTGTGGGGGTAAATTGTCTGCTATATTAGAAAATTATAAACTCCCCAATTATATACTCTGAGCACAATCACAAAGGTTTGGTTTCTAAACAGATGCTAATGGCAAAGTTTGTTTCTGTCTTCGTGTGCCTTCCTGCAGATGACCGCATACGGGGCTTTCCTCCATAAGGGCTCCTTCTGCAGAAACTATTTCAACATCTTAGACCTGCTGGTGGTCAGCGTTTCTCTCATCTCCTTTGGGATCCAGTGAGTGAACTATTTTCAACTGCTAGGTTTTGGGGGATTGTAGGGCCAAGTTGGGAGGTGATACCTCAGGCTCATTGTCTTATCTGGGTAAGATTTTTCTTATGAGCCTGGAGGTATTTTTCTCAGATGATTTGAGACCATTAAAATTCATCCTCAAGAGGGGAGGTAATAATTAGGAAATGCTAAACTAGCATTTCCTTGGAGGGGGGATCTTGCAGAAAGAGTAAATGAGAACAAGAGACTTGGTCCATAGGGAACTGTGACACTTAGCTTTGTTCCAGGATCTCTGATTCACTGTATTGGTTCAGGACAGCTAAGTGACTTACTGTTCCCTCCTAAAGCTCTCATAACCTCTTTGGAAAATGGGGTGATAACGTTTTGCTACTTCCTAAGATGCTGTGGGTCTTGGTCAATGGAAGACCATCAAGCGCTTCAAGAGCTGTGTGAGAATCTGCAGAGTACTGGTGGCAGTGACAGTTGATCCTGCTTCTGTCACACCACTTTGTGTTCGTTGATCTGTTAATTTGCTTAATAAGTTTATAGAATTACTTGACCATGTGGAACTCTATGTGTCAGATAGTTTCTTAGGTAGTATCGCAACTGATGAGAAATAAGCTTCCATTTGTTACCATTACAGGTTAGCAGCTCGCATGTTATGTTCCAGAGCTAAGCCAAGCAGAAGGATTTGCCAGGTCCACTGGGCTTTCAGTCAATGTCTTAAGAATGGCACAGTGCTCATTTTAACCTGCTGTTTCTTTCTTACAGACCTAACTAAACTCTTAATATGTTAGCAAAAAAACTGTTCCCAAAATCAGTAGGAGGGCCTGATGTCATACAGCATGGAGAACGTTCTCAGTCTGTGTTTTAGTCCTGGAAGATGCAGGGAGCTTTGTTGTAGTAGATAGTTGTGTTCAGTACTTAAAATTAAGTACAGAAGTCAGCCTAATCAATTCAGTGGGAGTCTACACATCCTTATATTTATGTACACAATTGATTTGCAGGATCAGAGGCCAATCACATTGCAGAGTCAAGCTCCAGGTAGACAGTATACCTTTAATGGCGGAGTCACCTGGAGTTCCCACTCTTCTATGAATATTTCAGTGGAGTGCTTCTTTGAACCTTATCTGAAAATGTCTTGTGATGGCTAGATCTTGGCACAATTTCCATATCATAGATAGCTACACAGTATTTGTCAGCTTGCCCTGCTTAAAAAAGTACCCTGCCCATATTCCATTCCCTTCATTGATACAGCACAGATGGTGAAAGCGAGGAGAATGTATACTGACCCTGCCCAGAAGCAGGAAGCAAGACCTATGAAGATAAAATCAGAGAGTAGTTTCCTTGCCCCTGAAGTGTCATAGCAAATAGTTGACTCTCTAACTATACTGAGCAGTCCTAAGGCTTTGTAGGATTTCAAACAAGAAAGAAGGGGGCACAGCAGCACACCTCCTATATTGCTGTATCTCTCTAACCTTCTGATGCTTTTTCCAGGTCCAGTGCTATCAATGTGGTGAAGATCCTGCGTGTTCTGCGAGTCCTTAGACCACTGAGGGCCATCAACAGAGCCAAAGGACTAAAGGTTAGAAGAGTCCTAATGCGTTCCGTAAACTTTGAATTCAAGTTATTTCAAGCTACAAGGACCTTTGCAATGGCTCAAGTAGTGTTTTACCAGAATCACAGAATGGTTGAGGTTGGAAGGGACCTCTGGAGATTGTCTTGTCCAACAACCCTGCTCAAGCAGGGTCACTGAGAGCAGGTTGCCCAGGACCATGCCCAGGTTGCTTTTGACTATCTCCAAAGAAGGAGATACCACCACTCTGGGCAACATGTTCCAATGGTCAGTCACCCTCACAGTAAAAAAGCGTTTCCCAATGTTCAGATGAACTTCCTGTGTTTCAGTTTGTGCCCATTGCTTCTTGTCATGCCAGTGGGCCCCACTGGAAAGAGCCTGGCTCTGCCTTCTTTACACCCCACCATCCCTTCAGGTATTTATATACATTGACAAGATTCCCCCAAGATTTCTCTCCTGTAGGCTGAACAGTCACAGTTTTCTCAGCCTTGCCTCACAGGAAAGATGCTTCAGTCCCTTAATGATCTTTGTGGCCCTTCGCTGGACTCCTTCCAGTACATCCATGGCTCTCATGTACTGAGGAGCCCAGAACTGGACACAGTACTCCATATGTGGCCTCACTGGTGCTGAGTAGAGGGGAAGGATCACCTCCTTCGACCTGCTGGAAGTATTTGCCTAATGCAGCCCAGGATATCATTTGTCTTCTTTGCAGCGAGGGCTTATCTTCAATTTGGTGTCCACCAGGATTCCCGGGTCCTTTTCTGCCAAGCTGCTTTCCAGCTGGGTGGCCCAGCATCCCCACTGAGGTTAAAGGATGTAGTTTGCTAGGGTTACAGATGGACTCAGAAGCCTATTTTAACATAGCCTTGCTGTATTAGATAAACTCCTTTCAGTGGGCTGGTGGGCCCAACTATGTACGTCGGTGCTGCTGGAAGTCTCAGAGATGAGCTCTGGTATTTTGCTATCCCTTTCTGCCTGCTTCTAAGACTACAGTGAGGAACGTAACAAGTTGGTCTTCTCTCCCGTTTCCTGAGACATTACTTAATGGACAATAGTTAAATAGTTAAATTCCTTTATTTGTATTTTTAGTCTCAGGCTTCTCCCTTAGCCAGAAGAGCTCAGAACAACCCTGCAAGTTACTTTTGTTCCTATCTTCCATTTGCAGCATGTGGTCCAGTGCGTGTTTGTCGCCATCCGAACCATTGGAAACATTGTGATTGTCACCACTTTGCTGCAGTTCATGTTTGCCTGCATTGGAGTTCAGTTGTTTAAGGTAAAACCATTTGGCCCATTCATTCATCTGTTACACATACCTGTATTACAGGGTGGGAAGAAAAATAGCATGAAGAAGTTTGAGGAAGGGGAGGTGGAACGTTCTGTGTCAAAGGCAAAATATTTGGGGTGCTGTCAGTGTTACCTGGTCTCCTGTTACCAGCAGTTCCCCAAAATTGGACCAGGCATATTCAGAATGCCTGCCGTTCATCTGTAATCATAAGTAATCATCAGTAACATCAGTGACCACCTTCTTCCCTAAATAGCTTATGGCATGATTTAGTGCCAGGGAGGTGAAGGGGAATGTTCTAAAGGATTGGTACTTGCAGGCTGTCTACCCCCTATCTTGTAGAGGAAGGGGAATGGCAGATAATCATGGGAGGTTATCCATTCACTTCTTTATGTCTGCTTTTATTTCTTTAACCAGTCTTCTGACAACTAGTGTTCTGCAGCACACAGTGCTCATGCACCTCAGGACGTACACATATAAGTACTGTGCAAGCAGATGAAAGCCTGTGCTCTGAACTACCCAGATGCAGGCAACTCTCAGTCGAGTTTGCTCACATCTACCTGAAAAAAAGCATGTAAACATACTCGTGGTTGGTTAAGCAAGTCGTAAATGCAGTCTCCTTGCTACATGATCTGCCCTAACCCTTCCACTCGGGAAAGGAAGCTTCATTCCTCTTTTTTCCTTTTCAAGGGCAAGCTGTACAGCTGCACTGATAGCTCCAAGCAGACAGCAGCAGAGTGCAGGTGGGTCTGACCTTTCCCAGTTAGCCCCATTCGGTGGCCACTCACTCTCAGAGCCTCATACTGGAAGTGCAGTTCTGCCATGTTCTCTCTCTGCTCTCCATCCACAGAGGGTACTACATTACATACAAGGATGGTGAGGTCAACCAGCCCATGATACAACCCCGGAGCTGGGAGAACAGCAAGTTTGACTTTGACAATGTCTTGACTGCTATGATGGCACTCTTCACTGTCTCAACCTTTGAGGGCTGGCCAGAGTGAGTGCTTCTTGGACCGGTGCAACACTAGCAATGTCCTCATTCATTTCAAAAGAGAAAATTCAAATGCAGAGCATAGACTTTCCCATTCTAAGCATTAAAATAAGTCTAAAGTATTAAATGTGACAATAGTAGCAGCAGTCAGTGTAGTAGTACGTACTTTGTAAATTCCTCAGGGCCTGCAGGAATTGCTGTTCCTGTACTTTTAAATAGTGCACAGCACTGTCTCTAGGTCTTAAAAATGTTTACCAGTAGTAGCAGCGATAGCAATATTTATTACAAATATTATGTATACAAATGGATATAAAATGCCGGTCAGGTACTTACCACTATTGCTAGGTATTGCAAGTTTCCGGATGGAGCCAGAAGGGCAATAGGAAACACACCAGTGCTACCTCTGCAGTTTGAGCAGACATGGGATGTCTTACCAGGCTGTGTTGTCTGTGCCACAGGGGCTGAGGACTCCCACAGCTCCACTCTGGGCATGCAGGGTATCAGGGAGCTGACCCTGACCTGTGTCACCGGGTGATGCCAACAGCAGTGTTAACAAATGTTAAAAGTGCTGAGATCCCCTTTTCTCACAAAACCCCGTTCCCAACAACACAGACTTTCCTGTCTTCTGTTAACTGAAGGGCATGCTTTTGATTTAAATTTTAATTGTTCAACTATGAAAACGTTTCACCCCTAAACAGGTTCAAATGTGTAAAGTTAATAAAAGCCATGTCTTCTCTTTTGCAAGAGTTTACAGTCAGATCAGTGCAGGCCTGCACATCTGTGAGTGAATTAATTTTGATACATGTAGAAGAAAATCACAAAATTAAACTTTATAAAATCACCTATAAGGCCTCAAGGCAGTTGCAGATTTTCTCTGCATTGGGCTCCTGTTTGCTTCCAGGTTGCTGTATAGGTCCATTGATTCCCACATGGAGGATGTGGGACCCATCTATAATCACAGGGTTGAGATCTCCATCTTCTTTATTATCTACATCATCATCATTGCTTTCTTCATGATGAACATCTTCGTTGGTTTCGTCATCGTCACATTTCAGGAACAAGGAGAACAAGAATACAAGAACTGTGAGCTGGACAAAAACCAGGTAATTTACAACACCTTGTTGCCACTAAAAGTAGAAAATACATTGAGAATAAGTATTTAAGAAGGAAATGCATACAGAGAGTAACATGTGAAGGTTGCCAACAAGATAAAATAATAAGGTGGCTTCACTGCCGTCTTTCAGGAGTCAGGCAAAAAAAATCTTGCTGTGAAATTTGCTCAAGGGACAAAATTTACTTTAAAAGTGTGTTGTACTGTTTGGTTTACTGAGATTAGATGACCATGACAGTGTTGTCTGGCCAAAGCAAATGCATACAGAACTCTTCAACACGTAGAATATGCACATTCAGATTACAACCTAAAAGAAATTTTTCTACTAAGCATTTTAATTTCAGTAAAAAACTTGAAACGTGCTGCATTTTTATTATATTTGGAGGTAGCTGACCAACCCTGTATTTTGGGTTTGATTTTTAAATCTACCCCTGCCTCTTTCACAGCGCCAGTGTGTAGAATATGCCCTGAAAGCCCGGCCTCTGCGGAGATACATCCCTAAAAACCAGTACCAGTACAAAGTTTGGTATGTGGTCAACTCCACCTATTTTGAATACCTGATGTTCGTTCTGATCCTGCTGACCTCCATCTGCCTGGCCATGCAAGTAAGTAAGCAAGCAGAAAATCTTACAGGCGATGAATTATTAGACTTTGTTGGGTAAAATGTAGAAATGGCTGAGGTTCAGACCTACTTTCACATTCACACCATGTATCAAGGGAGAAGGCCAGGGACATCATAAAAACCGTTGTACCATGTTCACTCCTGATGACATTTAGTAAAAAAGAAGAATCTGCTTCTTATTCCCTTCCTGTTAATATCTGACACTTCCAACAATTCTATTTTAACTGCTTGAAAACAAACAAGACAGGCTGAGAGAGCTGGGGTTGTTCAGCTTGGAGAAGAGAAGGCTCCAGGGAGACCTTACTGCAGCCTTTCAGTACTTAAAGGGGGTTTATAAGAAAGATGGGGACAAACTTTTTAGCAGGGCCTGTTGAAATAGGACAAGTTTTAAACTAAAAGAGGGTAGATTTAGACTACATACAAGGAAGAAATTTTTTACAGTGAGGGTGGCAAAACACTGGACCAGGTTGCCCAGAGATGTGGTCAATGCCCCGTCCCTGGAAACATTCAAGGTCAGGTTGGACAGGGCTCTGAGCAAACTGATCTAGTTGAAGATGTCCCTGCTTATTACAGGGGGGTTGGACTAGATGACCTTTAAAGGTCCTTTCCAACCCAAACTATTCTATGATTCTATTCTATGGCAGAAATGAAAAAAAAAAAAAAAAAAACAAGTTACATCAGACCAATTCAGTGGCCACTACAAGTGACTTTTCAATTCTGAGTTGTCTTCTACGAAATGCAGAAATAAACCTGGAACTGCCAGTCACCTGAGATCTGAATTTTAAATTTGGGGCTTTTCTGTGTTAAAAACCAGGGCAAACCATTGCAAACAAGGCCATAAGGAAACTGGGGACAGAGGGTAGGAAGGCCCTATTATCTCCTTTATTCTGTGTTAAAAAACATATAAACTGTCTAGAAAGAACATCTAGAGGCCATATTGTCTATCCCATCACTTAAAGGCAGGATCAGCTGCACCTAAAGCATTTCTTGATAGGTATTTGCCTAACTTGCTTCACTACCGATGCTACTGATTGCTTTACTATCTGCTATGCAGTGCATTCATTTTCTCTACTGTGTAAAGGTTTTCCAAACATCTAATGTGAACCCACCAAAGAAACATTTGCAGCTGGATCTACAAGAATGGCAAAATAGAGGTAGTAGATCACCATATGCAGGTGGAACAGCAGTAAATGAAAAGGAGTCAAGACCTTTACTAAGTAGTCAGCTTCCGAAAAAGAAGTCATACATTCCTTTCAGTCAGGAAATGGGCCCTCATAGACACAAACTGTTCTGTACAATTCCCCAAGTCTGCACTTTCCTGGCTTGTTCCTTCCAGCCTGTCTCTGCCCAAGGCCTCCCTCACCTCCCTTTCATTTTCAGTTAGTTCCAGACTCCACCTGCTCAGTTTCATCTCTGCACTCCCAGTTTTCTTAGCCACTCGAGACCCATTTTCTTCTACACTCTGTCTACTTAAGAGCTAGTCTGCCTGTCACTCTCCTCCCTAAAACCCATCCTTCCTCCTCCCCCAGTCAGTCTCTGAAGTCTCTTCCCTGGTATGTGGCCCAGATAGTCCAGATCCCCACTCGTCAACCAGTCCTTCTCACTACACAGACTCACAGTTGCAGTTACGTCTCCATAGACCTCCTTTCCAGTCTCTCTGCTCTTTCTATTTGATCGTCTGCTACACATTGTTCCCTTCTCTGGTCTGTCCCTTACCGTGAGTCCAACTCCTCATGCACTCCTATGCCAACTTCCCTTTTTACCTTAGCATCTCACCACTACCTTTTCACTCCATCACTCTCAGTCTGCCCCACTCCCAGCCTTCCCTAGCATAGGAAACTAGCCTCAGTTTCCTATCACTCACTGACAGTCTAAGTCTATATTCACAGTCAATTTTCACTTTATTTTCTCTCGCTGTCTCCAGCCTAATCTCACCAGATTTCTTGACTTCCCTACTTTTTCTTCATCTGGTCTAGCTCTTTCCCGTCCCCATTGAAAAAGCGTCCCCTGCTGTCTTGCCTAAGGTACCAACAAAGGAGTGAGGCAGCATGAGCACAATAAAGTGCTCTGCTCTCAGCTGAAGTATGTACTGTCCTGCTGTCATGGAGCAATAGAGAAGGACTATTATGTTCACTCTGAAGCTTTGAATCATGCTTAGTTGCTGTGAAAATGGTGCACGCCAAGGGCAGGTAGAGCTAGAAGCTGTGAGATGTTTGCAAGCCCAGAGGCAGGACAGCATCTCTGGAGATTCTGGGAAGTCTATATCCATCTTGAGAAAAGTACAGTTTTTTAAAGGCTTGTATTGTGGCCAAATTTGGGTCAAACATCATAACAGACAGCATACACACAAGCTAAATTCCACTAAAATTCCACGGTTTTAAGCAGAGTCCTGCAGGTACAAGTCTTTCAAGGAAAATATCACAAGAAATTTTGAAAACACCTCAACAATATATTTTTCCATGGCCTGGCTTTCACCTGCAGCTGAATTGTTTTAACTGAAACTCCTTTAGATAAATGACCCTGAGCCAATGCAGAATATGAAAATTCATCCCAGTTCGTTAAAGTTTATCAGAGTTAAGCAACTACAAATGGGGTCTTATAACGTGAACTGGAAGATGACCTTAGAATAAGGCAGTGCAATCAGTCTCAAGTATAATGATCTGGAAATAGGGATATGATGAGGGGGGTGGCAACATTTGTGGAAGACACTACTTGAATTAATCAGTAGAAGACGGAGAGTAACTTCATAAGATCTTAATAAAGTTAAGTGAATGGGCAGCATGATTGCAAATTTAATTCAGAGTTGACAAATGCAAGATAATGTGTATTGGAAAGATATGATTTGAGCTGCTCGTGTACTTTGCAGAATCTTGAATTAAATATAATTACTTGGGGAATGGCTTGGTATCATTACGAACAGCTCAGTGAAACCCCTGTTCACTGTGCAGTACCAATCAAACAAAAAAGTAATCCAAGCGTTAGGGAAGAGCGAGATAACAAACACAATTGAAGACTGCCTTGTACCATTATGCAAATTTGTAATGAACTCTCAACTGGAATGATAAGTGTGATTTTGGTAGCCCCCACTCAAAAAGATTTTTTTTAAAAAGATAGGAAGATCCAGACCCAGATGGCAAAAATGGCTAGAGGTATGGAAATGCTTGTGTGTGAAGGGAGACGGGAATTCGAAATTGGAAAAAAAAATGGAGTGTGCTGAGGTTTTCTTTAGAGAACCTCAACGTACAGGGAGATCTGGAGGGGCCCTGTGGATTCCTAACTAGCTGGTATGTCTGTTCCTCATGCTGCTGCCGGGACACTATTTTTCAGCACTACGGTCAGAGCTGCATGTTCAAGGAAGCCATGAATATCCTCAACATGCTCTTCACTGGCCTCTTCACTGTTGAGATGGTCCTGAAATTAATCGCCTTCAAACCCAAGGTAGGTGCTATAGGCGTAGAGTTTCCTGGCCTCTGTGTGTGTGTGCATGTGTGCGGGGCAGCTGTGAGGAGAAGGAGGAGGTGAAATTTTCTGATCTATTACCCCACCAGTAACTGAGCTGGACAGTTGCTCTCTGGATTGGAGTCTCACATATATTTATTAACTTTTTCACTGGAGAGTAGACACACGCCAAAAAAAAAAAAAAAAAAAAAAGCAGTCTCTGCTAATAGACAAGGTTCCTAGTTCTCTGTTTTCATTAAGGTATAATAGTGACACTATGTTAAGGCTATAACATGTTTTCCATTTTGAATGTTATTCTAATGCTCTCTCTGACTTTCCTTAAATAAATTATAAATAGCATCCCATGATTAGTCTCCTGGCCCAAGTGAAGTTAATCAAGCATGACTCATTTTGAGTTATGAGCTTTGGAAAAAAATGTTTCTTCTGAGAGGGCTACATCTCAATGGTAGTTTGGATTGCTTTAGTTTTGAATTTAAGACTTCATTGATAATGTTCAGTACCCCAGCAGGTCTTGTCTGAAAGTATTGTCCTGTCCATTGGACCATGGTATTCTCCTAGTATAGCTGCACCATGGGGTATGGTTATAACCTACTCTTCCAACTAAGCTGGCACAGCTGCTGCAGGACAAGGACAAAGATTCTGACCTCACGTAATTTAAGATTATACAAGACGTTCTTCTTTGGGGTTTAAATTCAGTGGTGTTTACAGATACCTAAACACAGGTACCTCGTGCCATTTCGTATCTTCAGTGATACTTTGACACACAGGATTGTATCTCGATGGATACCTTGATACATTGGTGTTGGCAAATACTGTCTGAAGCATCAGTTATGATGAGATGAGTAAAGATGAGAACAATCATGTTTGACAGTCATGCTTCTCCTTCATGTTAAACATTTAGGGGATCACTGAAGTTAAGAGCTCCTCCCAGCTCTAACCTAACATCTTCCTCATCCTCAGCTCAGAAACTTAGGTCTCCAATTCTACTGAATTTGGTTCTACTTTGTCTTGTTAACTCTGTGTTGACTTTACTCCCACCCAGCCTCTCTCTCCTTCTTCCACACTTGCTAGGACTTATTCTTAGAAGTCACAATTTTATTTTTTTCCTCAGCCCAATATCACTATCCTATCTCAGATGTAGTTCTCTTGAAAGTTAGCAGCATCTTGTGCAGTCCTGGTGAAGAACTGAGGATGAGGTGTTTTGGGTTTTTTTTTTTTTTGTGTGAGATCTCAAACACCGTCTTGGGAAATTTAGAAGTATCATCATCTTTTTCAGAAAGGATTTTGATTTTCAGGAGGGATCTATCTTTAACTTTTGAGATTTCATGATGTCTGTTAGCAGACAAATCTTCTGGCACTTTGTAAAAATATTATCTGCACACTATATACCCAGAAATGTATCTCACAGGCTTTGTAATGTTCTTCTGATTTCATGGTTCTGCTTTACAGGAGATTTGTAACTTTGAGAAAGATGAGGTTCTTAGCAGAATTTGTTTTGAGCATTTAGGGGAAAAGTTCAACCACTTCAAATATTGAGCTCTGTGCATATACAGAGAAGGCTTTAATAGACACGGTTGCCTCTAGCACTAAGGAATTGGCATTGATGATATTGGAGATCCTTTCTACTTCCTGTGTCCTACTTTCCTGTGTTCAGTCTCCTTTTCAAGTTTTGCTACACAACAAAGTATTAAATAAAATCAACTGAAGGTAAAAATGTATCCTCTGGATAACAAAACATTGGAGCAGATTGCCTAAAGAGATTGTGGAATCTCTATAATTTGAGGTTAAGATTAAATTAGGAAAACCTTTTGTTAGAAACAGTTTAGGAATGTATGATCTGCCTTGAGACAGGAGAATGGACTAGACTATCTCATGAGGTCCCTTTCAGCCCAATTGTCCATGATTCTGTCATTTCCAAACTAAATCCCCAGCTACTACACTATAGTAAAAGTCAGAATATGAACATAGTTTTCCATGTGATCAGAATAGTAGAGTCTTAATCAAGTCTTCTCAACTAAGGATTAAACAATGACTTTAGTTTGGGTCCTGCCCGTCCTGAAAGAATAACCAGTGAAAAAAATAAATCTGTTTCAAATGCTAGTCTGGCCTGTATCCCAAAAATAGTACTAATTCTTAAACTGCTATTTTAATTAAATACCTTCAGGAAAATAATTTTTTTTAAAAATGGAACCACAGGATTTACAGGGAAGCAAAACAGGAATGAACTTGTGAAAACAACTAATGCAGCAAAAAGACTTGCCTCCAGCGGTATATTCACACCGGATTATGTTAAGTACCAGTTCAGTGACTCAAGTTTGGAAACATCAAAATTCCTTGTGTAACTTGCCATTGTCTGTCCAGTAAAAGCATTTGGCCTGCAGCCTTCATTCCCTGCTCCATATTGACTCAACCTGCTCTCCAAAGAAGGAAACCCCCTCTCCCAGATGACCATTTGGACTGATGTGGACCAACACTGGGGGGGCACAATCTGCTTCTCTTTAGATTGCACATTGGGATTGAAGCTGAACTTACCTAGAATATGTTCTGATGTGGAGTCTACCAGCACGGAGAAAGTTGTTACCTTAGTCCTCTGCTTGGCCAGACCTTGAGTCCTCCTATCACTCTAAGGTATAAAAACAAACTACATTTGCAGATGGAGGTTGTCCCTAGAAACAGCATCTGGAAAAGTCCAAAGGGATGAGTGACCATCACTACAGCACAGCCATCATCCTCTCCCCTCTAACCAAGCAAGTCCCCCAGACAAATAAATGAGATGCTAAGTAATACTAGTGTTTCCCAGATGTGAAACGGCAAGCTCAAATGCTTATGAGATCTCTTCTGAAGACAGATTTGCCTGCCATTTCCTGAACAATAAAACACAAACCAGCCTTTGTTTAAGCTGCTTTGTCTCATTTTGAATTTGTGCCCAAACATCATTTCTATCTGAGGAGGACCCTAAAATGAGTGAGCTGTAAACTTCATGACTGACAACCAGAAAGCAGGAAACTTGGGTAGCTGAAGGTGTCATATCCTCACCTTCGTGACAAATCCCAGAAGAATGTGGCAGAACAGGACTGACTACAGAACCGAAGCTGGCAAAATTCACTCTGTTTTCTCCAACTTTGTGGTGCTTAACCCATCTCCAACTTTGTGGTGCTGCAGCTAACCATCAGCTACAGCAAGTAGTGCAGTAACTGACTTGTAACTCTGAAGCAGCTGCCACAGAGCTCTCCCTTGCATAGTCACTTCCTAAAGGCACCTTGGAATGAGTGGTCTGCAGCAGCAACACAGAATCACAGTTTTCTCCATCTGTGCAAGGTAGAACAAGCTGCTGTTTATTCATACCTTTACCAGAGAGAATTGCTAAGGGAACTGGGACAGATCTCTGAGGTATTCAGAGCTGCTATCACCCTAGCTTCTTATAGAAGTCATCACAGGGATGTGCCCATGCAGAACAGCTTTGGTGGAAGCCTGGAGTTCCTATTATGTAGAGTTCCTGCTGCAGGCAGTGGTGTGGCAATCACTATTGTATGAAGTAATATAATGCACTACAGTGCTACCCGTTTATTACGTGCGTAACAACAGAAAAAAGGTGGCAGTCTCTGACTGAGTAGATTTTTTTACTGTATCCATTTTTATTTCTTCACTTGTGTTCTGTGAGGAGACGTATCCTTCTTATTTGCTGCCCTTGATAGTAAAGGTTAAAAAAAGCAAAGGCAGTAAGTTGCACAGACATTAAGTGGGATCACATATGTGTCCAACTGCAAAGAATCAGCATGGATAATCCAGCCCTGCAACTAGTTCTTGTGGTAAGAGCAAGGATTTACTCATTGAAAGGCCAGCTGTTGGAATAAGGAGCCAAGTCTGAGTCAGGGCTCATCTCCTAACACTTACAGAAAATATGTGAAGGGGGTAGAAAGACAAGGGCTTTCCTAACTAAACAAACTGTTACTGTTGAGATTGGTGTCTCTAGTCAGCAAGTCCCTTTGATACCTGTCCTTTTTATTGGCCACCTTCCATGAACAGTGTTTTGGTTTGTTTAGTCTCCAGGGAGGCTATAGAAAAGAGGGGTGCATTAGCTGGAGCAGCTGATGCTGGTATAGATAGTGCATGCGAGGCAGGGACAAGGCCAGCCTCTGTGAGCCCCGGTGGTTTTGTGTGGAGCATTTTCTGGAGGAGAGGATCAGTTATCCCAGGTTTTTTGCAGGATAAATCTAAGCACTGTTGTAAGACAGCTCATCTATGTCTGATGCAGTCTTGACAGAAGGGTGTACTAACAATGAGCAAGAGAGATTTGGGATGATTAGGGCTGCTGATAAAGAAAACATCCACTACATGCTCTGCATCTCCTTACAGAGTATTAATGTGCTGCTCTGAAGCAAAAGTCCCAAATGGACCTGAGTGTTTGTCTTGGCTGACGCTCATAAACTGATTCAAGACTAGTTACTTCAAAGAGACAGACAGTCTAAAAGTAATGCTGTTGAGCCAAGGCCTTTTGCTGCTTCGTTTTTCTAATTTTATAAATTCTCCAGCCAGTCTGGTGAGCTATTTTCCAGTTCCTGCATGGAGCAAGCTGCTGCTACTTCATGCTTTTTTCTAGAGAAAACTACTAAAGTGAATGAGAGGTGCTGTGCTCTCTGGGGTGATCACAGCTACTGCTGTCCTAGCTTCTTAAAGAAGAAATCCCTACAAGCACTAGTCCATGAAGGACCAGCTGCTCTACAAAACCTCCCTAGGGTTATCGTTTCAACTCAAAGGCAACTTAGAATTCCTATTCATATGAAGCTGTGCCATCTGTTAACGTACGTGCTAATATGGGGATGGATATTCCTCCATGAATTTCAGATTTTTCCAGCTCCCTGGAATGGACTGTTTAACTGATGAACCACATCTATTTTTTCTTTCAAGAAACATTTAATCTGTCCTCTTATTAGCTAGGGCAGGACTGGTAATGCGAGAGCTATGAATTTTCTACCGCC